CGGCAGAAAGAAATCCGGAGGGCTAAAATCTAACCAAAGTAACTTCAAAGCACAAATAAAACTCATAAAAACTATTCCGGATCATAAAGTCTCAATCTTTAACAAAATCTAAAAATCGGTCCAAAAGTCGACCCTCGGGCCCGCACCTCGGAACCCGACAAATTTTACAAAATCTGACTACCTATTCCAATATGAGTTCAACCATACAAAAATTATCAATTTCCGATACTATTTCGTCCCTCAAATCATAATTTTTCATTTTTGAAAATTTTCTTCAAAAACCAATATTTTCCTCCACTCAAAACACAAATTAAATGATGAAAATGAAGATAAAATCATGAAATATGTTAGATTCTAGGTGAAGAACACTTGCCTAATCGTTTTGCTTGGAAAACCCCAAAAGAAGCTTCCAAATCCGAAGTTTAAAACTCAAAATATGGAGAAATGACCAAACCCTCGACTTATATGATTCTGCCCAGCATTTTCCGCATCTGCGGGTAATTAAGTGCATTTGGTCAATTGCATTTGCGAGAAAAGAGTCTGCATCTGCGAACTCAGCTAACCAGGCCTGGGACCGCACTTGCGGATTTACAGCCGCACCAGTAGCACCGCAGAAGCGAAAGGGGAAACCGCAGAAGCGAGTTTAATAGCAGGTGCGATCTCTAGACTGCAAAAGCGGCCATCGCAAAAGCGAGCAATTACCCAGACCTTCATGACCGCAGAAGCGGCCAGGCTCACGCAGAAGCGGTCAAATTCCGGGGCCGTTTACACAAAAGTCAAACTCCGATCAAATTCTCACCGCTTAAGCTTCCAAAACTAGATTCCTTCTTCCAATTCAACTCCGAATCATCCGGTAACTGAATTCAACCATGCACCCAAGTCGATACACATAATATGAAATTGTTCACGACCTTATGCCGCCGAACGGAGCTTAAATTTTCAAAACGACCAATCGGGCCATTACACATAACACAAAAAAATTGATTGCAAAGAAATTTGGTCGATATATAGTAAAATATTGTTGTAGAAAATGATTGTTATAAAGGATAACTGTAATGAGTTAATCCTATCATGCCAAACCTTATCTCTCTTGTCCTAATCACAATTTAATTTCTAACACTTCCTCTCAAGTTAATGAGAGGTAAATTCTGAGAAATCGAATTCAGAGGTATCTAAAGTTGCACAAATTTTGAAATGCGGCACCCAAAAATGGTCAAATATTCCACAAACCCATAATATTTTTAAACAGAGAGGCTGTCGAAAAGTTTTCGGATATTGAGACAGCCGTCCATTCATAAAAAATTATGATAATTTTTTCAAGTTTTCGACGGACTGTTCATCTATAACAAAAAAAAATCACCAGGAAACTTAGCAATCTCACCACCAACCTATCGACAAGTCAAAATTTGATTAATTAAGTTATATATGCTGATACATACTTTGATATGTAAAGAAAAATTACATTATTAGTTAATTTATTGTGGATAAAAGCTTTACATCGGAAAAGTTGTTCAATGATTTTCAACCTTCCCGTCCAAATAGTCGGATTTTTTGCAGTCTAAGTGAGAACATATGGAAGTTGCGACAGCTACAAAATTCTACAAAGACATCATAAAATCAATATGTCATTTGAATCATAGGAATATACACAATAGTTTTAGACGACTACATTGAACAATTATTAAATAGGATGGACAAATTATGTCACATCCTCTTGTAAAGTTCTAGGTTTTGGTGACTGAGAAAAGACGTCGGCATCTATTCATTTTTGGTGAGCGAGTACAAAGAATGATCTTATTGATGTTATTGGTGAATAGAGGTGTTCTTAGTTCGAATTGAGCTGGTATCCTCCTAAAAAGAAACCAAATTAATTAAGTCGATTTTTAAATGTTTAAATCACACCAAACCAAATTAATGGAAAAAAGACTATTTGTTGCTTCATTGAAGTTTGTCATGAAAGACGAATTAAGTTTAGTCAGCTCTTACAAAATCCTGATTTGGGTTCCTAACAATTTGTTCCTTTTCAAATCCATTGAATCACCACAATGTCCTTTGCCTCTTTATTTTTAATTTATCTTTATTTCTCTTTATGTAATTCTACTTATATGAATATAGCTAAACCTTGGATACTCATACTCTGTACATTTGGTCAACAATATATATAATTATAACCTCTTTCCTGTATAAACACGTTTAAAATTTTGGCACAATAATCAACTAAATATATAATACCATTAATCATAATTGTTATTTCTGAAAAAAAGAAATTGTTATTTCTTAAGATTGTAGAACTTTGTTAGGAAATTTGATAGATCATTTATTTGAGAAGGATAGATTCAGAAAAAAATAACTAATGCATCTTATTCTTAAAGCAACACTTATTTTGGACCAAATTGATTAGACTAAAATGATACTTTTCAGGAGGAAATATATAAGTTTTCTCACTCTTTTTAATATCGAACACTCTTTCTGAAATCCCTAACATACAGAGACGGAGCCAGGATGTAAAGTTTATGGGTTTGGAATTAGCCATCGAACTCATGGCTCCTTTAGTTACTGGGTTTACGATTAAATAGTTCTATATATTTAATAGATTTTTAATACAAAATACAAGGTCTAAATAAAAGCTACTGGGTTCATCCGAACCCGTAACTCATACGGTAGCTCCGCCCCTGCTAACAGCTGATGGATCCCTCCCTGTATCCTGGTGTTAGCATTGTTTTACCCCATTGAGGTTTCAAGCTATGTGTGTCAAAAGTCAATATAAGATTTAAGTCGAAAAGCTAATTTTTGTAACGGAAAAATAAATAGCATCATGTTCTATCAGAAAGAAACGAAGTTTTATTTGCCATTTTGATTGACTTGCTGATATTCCACTATTCTCAAAGGCGAGAAGTTAAGAATAACAAGATCAATTGGAGAAAAAAAAAAAGAATTACAAGATCAAGATAAATAAGAAAGGAAGTTACTGTAAAATTCAGTCTTTTGTCCTTCTCACTTGAACAAGAACATAAACATCTTATTCCCTAAGACCACTCCAAATAGTGATACATATAATATGTATCACTTACATTATTATATTGTTCCAAATAAAAACCATCTTTCCTCACCTCCCATTTACAGTTAGTTAGAACATTTGGATTTCCTGAACCTTTGACACAGGTATATGGGTCATTAAACACATCAATTTTTTTCTCCTTTAAACCCCACCAAATATGACAAAAACAATAACAACCCAGTATAATCCCACTTAGTGGGGTCTGGGGAGGGCAGTGTGTACGCAGACCTTACCCCTACCTTGGGGTAGAGAGGTTCTTTTCAAATAGACCACCAGCATCCTTCCCTCCAAGAACTTCCCACCTTGCTCTTGGGAGACTCGAACTCGCAACCTTTTAGTTGGAAGTGGAGGTTGCTTACCATCATAGCAACCCCTCTTATCTCGCAAAAATGATAAAAGAATAAAGTTTTATTGAGAAATGTCTCACAAAATGACCAATTAAAGTCTTGATTTTGGTAAGATTATGGTAGCCACATACTTCCAGTTTTGGGGAGTTAGAAGGAAGTTTGTTGATAATATGTACCACATACTTCGAGGAAAAGATGCATTTTCTTGCTATTGAAAGGTCAAGGGGCGTGATCAGTAACAAGAAGAAAATGTTAATCAAGGAAAGAGCCATAATGAGAAATTAAATATTGAAAATGTAAGTGGAGTTTTGGAATTTTATACATAAAAATTTTAATTAGTTTAGTCAGGTTCACAAAATCTTAAATTGGATTCCAACAGTTTGTACTTAATCTGATATCGTTAAATCACTATTAAAGTTCCTTGCCTTTTTATCGTTAGAGATAATCCACAATTAACTTGTCTCAAAGTTTCAACTGCACATTTAAACTTTGTGGGATCAGAGACTTATCAGCCCAGTTTTGATGGAAAAAAGTGCAAAAATATTTGCAGGAATATAATACTTTTTGGGGTGGTATTAATTTTTTACCCCTGCTTTTTTCGTGGGCAGAACTTCAAAGTCAAAAGTTAAAAGTTATACATGGGGCAAGCGAGGGAAATACTTGTCAAGCTTAAAGTTCTGCCCATGAGGCAAGCGGAAACAAAAATTCAAGACCATCCACTTTGAGGGCTATTGGTGTACTTCACCCTGAAAAGTGTATCTCGTAGTTGGCTGAAGGCCCAAGTCGTTGAAACATCTACCCTACGCCTTGATTTTTTTTAAGGGATCTTTACACAAATAGTCAATCGGATTCACTGTTTACTTTTTCTAGTTTGTACAACTTCAACACTAATAATATATGATTATACGCACATTATACATCCGCCAACTATTTATACTTTAAGTGGTTGGTTGATAAGTTATTTTATGTTAATTCTTCTTCTTGAAACCCCATAATAATATTTTTTTTTCCATAATAAAACGTTGCTCTCATCCTTCCTCCTATCTATTCTCTCAAAAACAAGGGTTGAAGGACAGTGACTAAATTAAAGGGGGAAAAGACAGGAGTACCTATAAAAGTGAAACTATTTATCCTGCTCTACCCATAAAAGAATTCTACCCATTAAATGATTACAATCTCCTACCCATTTAATAAACAAACGGGTATATCAAAATAACTACCCCACGCTTAATGCCTTACCTATAAAAACCCAAAAACTGCTCAAAATTTCAGAAAATAAGCGCACAAAATTGAGATTTCCACCGACATCCCCTAATTTGAAGATCGCTAACGAAGATGTTGATTCGCATCTTGTTTTCGGATTTTGATTTCGCTGGCAGAGCATAATGTCAAAAATTATAAGTATTATAGAAGTTTAGCGCTCAAACTTTTGAATTTTTAGCTGAAAATTCTAATCTCGGTTTGGAGATCTGGAAATCTAGAGGTTTGATTTCGAAAAATCTGTTGTTGAAATTCAATATTTGATATCAACACTGTTGAAATTTGCATTTTTGAGAATCAATTTTGGACATAAAAGTGATTATAACTTCCGAATCATGAAAAATATACCAATTTTGCTGCAGCATAGTGGACAATGGGATGATAACAATAATTTCATAAATTTTCATGTTGATGCAATTCTACTAAAGACCTATTGGAAATTTGAACAACTTCTTAGAGAAATTGCAAAGCAATTGCAAAAGGGCAGTAACACAATAGTTATTCAGTATGTTATTGCTCAAGGATATCCACCAATTACAATTTGTAGCAATATGAGTGTTAGTGTTTACATGGAATTGAAAAAATCAAGTGCAGGGATGACAACACTTCCCCTGTGTGTGTCGTTTGCTAAAAATACTATAGCTGCAAGCACCTCCAGTTTCGATGTTGCTCCAATTTCATTAGAAATTGCACAATTTGAAAGCATTGATATGATTAGTACATTTGATGTGCAAGAAGGAGATAACACCAGTTTAGAACTTGATGTTGCAAATATCATAACTGATCAATTTCATCAAAAAGTTGAAAACAAACAAATTTACAAAGACAAGAACATGCTGGCTCTCGTTATGAAACAGTATGCCGTTAGAGAAAAATATCAATATCGGGTTAATAAATCATGCCCAAGAAGCTTCTTCTGCATGTTTTCAAGTAAAAAACTATGTGATACATGTATAGTATATAAGTATGCTAAATCAATATACTATGCGAGTATGGTATTGTATTAGTTTGTCTATATTTTTTATCACTGATACTGGTATAGTATATAAGAATGCTATATCTGTATACTATGCGAGTATATAACTATACTGGTTTGTCTTTGTTATTATCAGTAAAACATAATACCAATATAGTATATATATGTATGCTAAATCAGTATACTATGTGAGTATAGAATTGTGCTGCTTTATTTATGTTTTTTATCAGCAAAATATGATACTGATACAGTATATAGGTATGCTATATGAGTATACTATGTGAGTATATAATTGTACGGATTTTTGTGTGTGTTTTTATCAATAAAACATGATACATAACTGTATTTGTATTATAAACAGATATATCCTTGAATGAGTGGATGAAATATGCACTTGGAGACTGAAAGCATCAAGCTTGCGAGCATCAAATCTTTTCAAAATGACGGATTTCAATTCTGTCCACAATTGTTTAACTAATAAGAGATTTTGTTCACAAAAGCAACCTGTCTCAGCTTTTGTTGCAACTGTGGTACAAGATAAATTTGTTGACCCGAAAATCATATATACACCAACAGATATCCAGAGAGACATCCAAAAAGCATATGGCATGGACTTAAACTACATCAAGCATGGAGATCAAAAGAAAAAACAATGCAATTGTTGAGAGGAACACCAAGTGAGTCATACAAGAAAATGCCAACATATCTTTATATGTTAGAGTATGCTAACCCAGGATCAGTGACACGACTACACACTGAAGGAGATGGGAGCTTCTTGTATGCATTCATAGCTATATATGCATCGATTAGAGGATGGATCTATTGTAGGCCAACAATTATAGTTGATGGAAGTTTTTTAAAGTCAACATATAGAGGGACCATACTCACAGCTTCCACGCAGGACGCAGAGGGTAAGAATACAATCCAATTACATTCAGTTAAAGAAACAAAAAAGATTTTCAAATATTATATGATACTAGTATGGTATACAAGTATACCAACAGAGTATATAATTATTTTGCTATATATCTGCACCTACATATGACTATACTACTATATGAAATACTAAATTAATATTGTTGTACAATCCAATTACATTCAGTTAAAGAAACAAAAAAGATTTTCAAATATTATATGATACCAACATAGTATATAGTTATTTTGCTACACACCTGCACCTACCTATAACTATACTACTATATGAAATGCTAAATTAATATAGTATGTTGTAATTGATATTTTGTTCTTTAGGTTTACAGGACAAATTCTACCCCTCGCATATGCAGTTGTTGATTCAGAAAATGATGCATCGTGGGAGTGGTTCTTCGTGCAGTTCAGAGAAACCTATGGACAAAGAGAGGGAATGTGCATTGTATCAGACATACATGATGGTATATGGAAAGCAACTTCAATTGTCTATCCAAAAGTCCCTCATTTTGCATGTATGTTCCATTTGTGGAACAACATAAAGACAAACTTCAGGAAGAGCCTAAAACAAATCAAAGAAGTATACTTTGCGTTAGCAAGAGCATACACTGTTGAAGAATTCAACAGGCATATGGCAGAGTTAGAAGCTATTAATAGTAGAGTGAAAACATACCTGATGGATATTGGATATGATAAATGGTCTCGGGCGCATTCCAAGGCAAATAGAACCATGACCATGACATCGAATATTGCGGAATCAGTAAATGCAGCAAACAAGCACGCAAGAGACCTCCCAGTTGTGAATTTGCTAGACTTTATGACAACATTAATTCAAAAATAGAATTACACCAATCGGAAGGATGCAGTGGAATCATTGAAGATTGGTGCAAAGTATGAAAAAATATTGGCAGATAATACTATCTTATCACAGACGATGACGGTATGCATTTTCAAAATTATAAAAACACTGCATGTACTATAGTTTTACTTTTTTACCTTAGTGATTTCACTAAACAACTGAATATTGTTATTTAAAAAAATACTGTTACTTCATATAGCTAATGACTTTTCTTAATTAAAATTATACTAGGTGTTGCCATCAACTGAATTCTTACATTTAGTAATTGATGGCCAAACAAGAAATGTGGTGCGCCTACATGAAAAGAACTGCACTTGTGGAAGGTTTCAGCTAGACGATATTCCATGTCCACATGCAATGGCAGTTATACAAAAATTCCATATGGATTCATACAAGTATTGCTCGGATTACTACAACATAGACTACTTGCTGAAAACATATGAGATATCAGTAAATCCTTTGCCTGATGAAACAACGTGGAAAATTTCATAACATGTCTCTTAGCAGGTGGTACTGCCACCAAAAGGAAAAATCAAACCAGGAATACCTAAAAAGAAGAGAGGCATAGGAGGCTAGGAAGGAAATACAGTTACATGTGCACTATGCGGAAGAAAAGGACACAACCGGAGAACATGCCGAAATATTCCAAAGAGAGATTGATATAATGCTTCAATGTTTTTATAGAACTTATATATCATAGAATCATAGCATTTGAATTGCAAAGAAATAAAATGCATTTCTTGCACTAGACATATATTTGGTATGATGATTCTTTGCGAAATTACTTTTTGACAACAAATTTATATGGCTACTTGTGTTTTCAATAAGAATCTGTTTATTTTCTATTTTAGTATATAAAAGTGGGATGCATTTACATCTAGTTGCTGCAGGAAAAAAATGTTAAAATATAAATGTGATACCCAAGTGGTATATCTGTATACCTTATTAGTATCAAAATATGTGCAGAAATAGAAGTGGTGCCGCAAATGCAACATTTGTACATACATCGTTAACAAAATGGCCACGCTTTACAGCTCATGTCTGTATTGAAGTATAAAAAATTGGAAGCCATTTACATGCAGTTATTGTACATCATCAGGTACATAAATACAAGGTGATACCCAAATGGTATATTTGTATACCTCACTGGTATATAGTTTATTGCACTAATATGGCTAAAACAAAATATGCGTAGAAATACAAATGGTGCACCAAATACAACGTGATGCCCAAAATGCGCACGCTTTGCAACTCATGTCAGTACTTACATCTAGTTGCTGCAGGAAAAAAGGTACTCAAATACAATGTGATATCCAAATGGTATATAAGTATACCTGATTGGTATATAGTTCTACTGCACTAATATACCTGAACCAAAATCTTTACAGAATACAACTGGTGCAGCAATGCAAATTATGCACAGATTTTCTTAGATTCAACTACAACTAACAACTACTCTCAATATAATTTCAAAACTAGTTCACTTTCTAAAAATAGTTCTTGTCATTCAAATCAATGCTCGCCCTGTCCTTCAACAAAATAACAACATAGTTCCTCTTTTTGAACATCGTAACTCCCTTAAAAATACACCTCCAAAAATAACTTCTGCTGGTGTATTACAACAAACTAACAATGCTCCCCCTACTACAAATGGCAGTAGCAGTAGGAACTAACAGTGCTGCTATAACAGCCATGTTCTACACTAATGGCTTGACTTCAAGTGCTGACAAAATTCTGTCTCCGAAAGGCACTCCTAATAAACCAACAACTTTATGGAAGAAGCCTAAGAAAAGCCTAATAAAACAAACTGAAGATACATTCCAACATTAAAACAGTTATAGCAACATATTGTACTATTACAATTGTATTCCTAGAAAATACTTTTAAAAGCTAGCATTTTTACAATCTAATAATGCAAAATACCATACTTCACCAAAAACTATTAAAATCCTGCAAAGTTTTCATGCTACGATTAACTAAAACCAAAAAGAGACCTATACTACTTTTTGCGTTTCTTTCCACGAGTCTTTTTAGGTGCTACTGGAGCCTCATATTCACTTGATTCGCCATGCAACTGCTTGTTCCTCCCATAGTACCACAACAGTATACCAAACCTAGCTCGAAGACCATCCACATCAAAATTGGCAACAGGGATTGGGAGATATTCAATAATATACTCAGAAAAGCATGCAACATATACTCCACAATCTCTGAAATAAAATAAATGAATAGAATATAAAAATCAATTAGAAGTGAAAATGTTAATATGAATGAGGAAAACAAAGTAAAAAAAAGTAACTATTCTTACGAATTTTGTTGTGTTGGCAGATTTGTAATCAGTTCAATCTCAAAAGGATCAGTCAACTCCTTTCCAATGTGCACCATTTTGTACTACAATGTCACTTCTTTGGTTATAAAATTCAATACTAACTAGAAATAGGGGGATCAACACAGCATATGCCTCTGCCACCTTTTGAATAGCTTTTTTGTGCTTTCGACTACATAGCGAGTCATATACATAAAAACATCTCTTGTGGAATGATACATACCCCAATATCCAATGCCACTTTTCTGCCAAATTAATTGGAAAAAGGACATGATCAACCTGGTGCCATGGAGTGTTGCAATGCATCCTAAATCCTTTCATGTACTCCATGATAGCGTCTAATCTATCAATCAAATGATCTTGTTTCCAACCTTTTACAAATTCTGTGAAAACCCTTTGAATGATATTATTAAAAAGAGTATCTGTAGTTGTGACTTTGATTGGCATATTAATTCCATATTTTGCCTTCTTCCTAAGATAGTAGAATATAATATTTAAGTGTTGCAAAAAAGAGAGAAAGAAAACATGACTAACACTAACAATATGAATAAACTACTACAACAACAAAAATAAAAAGAAGTACACATACCGAACTAGACAGTGGCCTGCCAGGTAAATACACTTCCCTATTTTGTATAAAAGAAGATATGGATAAGAAATGTAACAACAAAAATTAAGAAAACATGAAAACAAAAGTACATGGAAACGAATACGCACTCTCCCAATTGCATGTTTGCTTCGACAAAGTTTGAGAATGCAGTCGTAAGCTTATAATCAAGAACCACTGAAATGTCATTTACAAATGGAAATCTTCCTTTGATAACCTTTGAGGATCCCCCAACTGCACTAACACCAGATTGTTAGTCATTCCTATACGGCGACTGTTTTACAGCTGCAGGGCGCCTTCTCCGTGTGAAAACTGCAGGAGTAATTTCAACATCTATTTGTGTCTGGACAATACTTCTTGATACCAACTGATCAGCTTTAGACTTATTTATAGCACGAGTTGTCAGTTCATTTCCAGATTGATTTACATTACGTCTCTCTCCTTGTGTAATGGCAACAATTAGATCAAGTTGAGAATCAGTATATTCAAAATCAGAATCCAAGTGAAGATCACCCCCGTGTCGACATGGAGCTTAAATTAGAAAATGCTAGTGAATAAACAAATATACAAAGTTAAGAAATTTAGAAAAAAAAGAATGAGAAATTATATATAGAAGACATTACCAGAAGGCAAATTCACATTACTGCCACCAACATCCACTTGGCTAACACCATCAACCCAAGATGTTGAACACATAAAAACATTATCAGCATCACTACTTAAATAGAAAAACTATCAAGAACCTATCATTTACATACTAACTATAGAATTAGTAACATTAACATCATATCTTGTGGAGCAGTATTAGACTCAGTAACAACATCTGCTCGTGTCTGTGCCGGGATTCCTGATGGCAGCGGAGCAGGACCCGACTTTTTACAATCATGAGATGACTGCTTATATGTTGTTTGTTATGTAATGGTGGTGATTTGATCAATTGCAGATGCAGATAGTTCAAAATTAGAATCCAAGCCAAAATCATGCTCATTTACGAAGGGGCTGAAAAAAGTTTTAAAAAAATGTTAGTGAACGCACAAATACGTAGAGTTAAATAAATAAAAAAAAGAATAAAAATATTACATATACAATATTTTACCAGAACGCAAATCATCATTAACTACGCCATGACTTGTTGTGACGTTCTTCACATTGACACCAGTGGCACCTCCATCTTGATCAACCCCACCAAAACCAGATACTAAACATATAAAAGTATAAGCAAGAGTACTATTTTCAAAAAACAACAGCAAAAAAAAATCAAATCTGTGATTTACATACTAGAAGGAGCTTTGGGCGTGCTATCTCCAATAACTACATGATCATTCCCAACGTGGCCCCCTTTCAAACTGGTCATAATCACTATGCATCTCATGAAAGTCAGGATCATTATCCTGTTGCTTATGCTGAAAATGAGAAACTAACAATTTTATTATTATGTATATTACAAGAATACTATGTGCACTAAAAGTAAAGAATGGAATAGTATCCTATAAGCATATATTACATCTTTGAATAATATACTATAGCATTATATTATATAAAAGATCAATACCGCTGAATTTTTCTCTAGATTCATTGACTTCCTACCAATAGCTGCAAGCACCTCCTCAAACTTGGTCTCTACAAAAAGCTTCAAACCTTGTAACTCCTTCATTACCTCAGCATTGGTAGGTTGGGAATCACCTCCAATACTTTCATGCATACTTTATGTCTTAGGTAATTGAGTGCCAAAAACTTGAAAGCTATCGGGCTGACTGTCAATGCACTCAACTTCAATTTCAAAGTTTAGACCACACACATCAAGTAGTTGCTTCTCATCATCAATTGGGGTGATGTTCTTTAGCTGCAATTATTAAGCACACTAGTTAGAAATAGAAATGATAATAAAATATGGAAAGATAAAAGATCCCTATTACCATATGATACCAATATAGTATATATGTATACCAACAGAGTATATCACTGATCTGGGATATTGCTACAACTAACTGTCACTAAACTACTGTACCAAAAATATTAAAAGATGCAATAAAAATATGAGAAAATTAAAAGTAAGTAGCAATAAAATAATAAGTAGAAGAAAAGATCCCTATTACCATACGATACCAATATGGTATACATTTATACCAACAGAGAATATCATTGATCTGGGATATTGCTACAACTATCCATGAATAAAATATTGTACAAAAAATATTAAAAGATGCAATAAAAGAATGAGAACATTAAAAGTATAAGTAGCAATAAAAGTATAAGTAGCAGAAATGATCCTTATTACCATATGATACCAATATGGTATATATGTATACCAACAGAGAATATCATTGATTTGGGATATTGCTACAACTATCCGTGACTAAACTCCTGTACAAAAACATTAAGAGAGGCAATAAAACTATGAGAAAATTACCTGCTCACTTTGCAAGCTAGACATTCGCAAAGCAACTCGCTCATTCGGTATTTGACCCATGACTACCCAATTCAAAATTCGTGGAAGTTTGTTTCCAATTTGATCAGCAAAGTGACCATCCAAACTTGGGCAGCATTCATACAACCAAA